GGTTTATTGATTTTTGTAAAGTTTCGATTGAAATATTATTCTTATTCCTAATAAACGTGTCAATCAATCTTGCAGGAATCAACATATTCATTTGAGAAAATATGGATACTCCAAGGACCAATATATCTTATAACCTTATTTTTATAAAGATTGGTAGAATTTCACTTGGCATATTAATTATTCTTATATTTTTCTCCAGTCTTTCGATTGTTGGAATCTGCTCATATTTATCCATATATCGTTCCCTTGTTGACACGTTTTTTAAGGAAATTACATGGTGTCCAGTATTACATTTTTGTTCAATAGACGAAATAACAGATGGATTAAAACAAAAGAATGTTGTTAATGTTAAAAAATATCATAATTTGTTAAAAACAGAACGGCGTGAGTTTGATTCCCGTTTGGAGACGGCAACTTCCCCACACAGAGACTCACAGGGAAGTGAGTGACCCCGGTGTCTTACACCATAGCTCCTTGTCCTCCAGGTTGGAGGTTGGACACAGGGCTAATAATCTCAAATAAAAAAAAAAAAAAAAAAAAAAAAAAAAACAGGGTGGAGATTACAGCAAAAGATTGCCAACCACCCTTCAGGAAATTGCCTGATGAAGAGGGAGTGAATGTGATCGCGTCCGGCACAGGCGGATTTACGGGAAGGAGGGGGAGCTTTCGGGCTGAAGCCTCCCCCAAAACGGTAAAATATAACCATGTTTTATAGAAAAAAATATGAAAAACTATCTCTTAAAGTATTATTGTTTGTTTAACTACATTTAATAGGACTTCAAGAATCACTTAAACACCATTTCATATAGGTAGTTCATTTCTTTCTTCTTTGTTTACAAATAAATTATCGTTATATATATGAAAAAAAATCTTTCGGGCTGAAGCCTCCCCCCCCAAATTAAATCCTGGATCCTCTAGTGGCGTCCGGTTATTGTAAACCACGTATAATTAGGATATCGTCAAGAGAACGAAACGATCTTAAATGTTAAATAACAGCTCCAAAGCTGCCAGATGACTTATTGCAGAAGTCAAAGTAGGCAAAAGGCTTAAGAAAATCATAAATAAATATATATATATATATATATATATATATATATATGTATATATATATATTTTTTTTTTTGTTTGTTTCTTCAATAACAAAAAATACAACCCTCATGACTACGTATTTACTTTTCAGAGGACCCCTCTCTTCTCAATGATAAAAATAAAAATAAAAATTAGATTTTATAATGTAGTCGTAAGACGATTCATTTCGAATCGCATTCGCTGGGATGTTTTTCTTAAATTTGGTCAAACCAAAAACACTAGGTAAAAAAGAACCACATTACAGATTTTTTAGAAAAACAAAACATGAAGGCTCAGAATACAATAGCCTTACTAAATGTGTAAATTGCATAGGTGAACATGACTCTTTCTCAAACAACTGTTCTGTGTTTGTTAAAGAAAATTAAATTAGAGACAAACAGCTAAAAATTAGAGAAAAAAAGATTATGTTTTGGCGGTGTCTCACTATAATACGGTGGAATCATAATAAATAAAAATAATCAAGCCTGGGTTTAACAGTTTTAATGCAAGAGGTTAAGCTTTTCTCTAACCAGTTGGCAGCGAAGGAACGAAGTGAGATACCAACGAAGGTAGATGATAACTAAGGTAAAAAATCTGGTGCGTTGCACGCATCACAGAACTTTCACTTACCAACCTTAAAGTAGATAAATTTTTCATATATAGTGAACACAACATATAAGGTGTACATGTAAAGTGAAAACGACGGTGTTTTTCCCGCCCATCGAATACGTTAAATTTATACATTTTCATCGCTTTTCATTTCCTTTCACGACTGTGCCAAAATATAGTACCAAATAATATTAATGATTGTGGGAAAAAACAGATCTTTTGGAAATATTCTGAGTTTTATCGGAAACGTTTATCACAAAACTCGTCGAAAAAATAACTTAACATTAGTAAACATGGAATATTATTAGAATTTTTTTTTTTAATTTGCTGATTTAGCCTCTACCCCTAAGCTTCATTGGCTTAATGTTTCCATTTTATATTCGTTGATAAAAGTGGATAGTCTTTAAATATTTGAACAGTTTTTCTATTTCATTCTCCCCATCTTGCAGAATTTCTTTCATTTCCGTTCCCATTAGAAATTTTTAGTGTACCTTCTACATTCTACTAATATATGTTTTACTGTTCTGGGTACTAGGGAATGTGTGCAAGTTGGAGCTTCTAATCCTCGCAGGAGGTATCCATGGGAAAACTCACAGTGCCCAATTCTTAGCCGACATAGTATCACTTCTTCTCGTCTAGACTTTCTGTTTGATGTGTTCCATTTGATACATTTTGTTTTAATTACCTGAAGTTTTGCCGAACTCATTTCCCATTCACCGTTCCATTTATTTTGAAAGGAGCAGGCAAGTTGGTGTGTCCAATCTTCTCGAGGAATAGCATCAATTATTGTGGTTCGTGCCATAGGCGGATTTAGGGGGGGGAGAGGGAGCTTTCGGGCTGAAGCCCCTCAAAATGGTAAAATATAACCATGTTTTATGGTAAAAAATATTTAAAAATTATGTCTTAAAGTATTATTGCTCGTTTAATTACATTTGATAGGACTTCAAGAATTACTTTTTTTTTTATTTATTCATGATATTACAACTGTATTAAAAAATTAAATACATTAAGTAAATTTGATACCAGAAAATAATGACATGAAATGACTTGTTGAAAAAATACCCACTGGTAGCACTCTAAAAACAAAATGTATTTACAATAAGAGATCTCGAGGCCATCTTCTTTTCAGACGCCTCGGAGAGGAGAATTTCTTAAACCCCATTTCATACAGATAGTAAGTATCTTTCTGTTTTTCTAAAGTAATTATCGTTATATATATGAAAAAAAAAAGCTTCCGGGCTGAAGCCCCTCCCCTCCAAAATTAAATCCTGGATCCGCTAGTGGTTCGTGCAGTTCCTTGACGCCGGGCAGAGTTGGCTGCAGCATCGGCTCTCTCGTTACCCAGGATACCACAGTGTGATGGTGCCCAGATAAGGACTATGTTTTTATTTCCTTCCTTTAGTTCACCATATATGTTAAAAATTTATGTTATAACAGAATGCTGGTTCGTTGATTGTTTTATGGCTTCTATCACGGACATTGAATCGGTTACGATAGCATGGTTTTTGAAGAGGTTGGTGCGGATGTGCAAGAGTGCTTCTTTTATGGCCGTGGCTTCTCCCGTAAAAATAGAACATTCTCCTGAAAGTTTGTACAGGAATTCTTCACTGTCTGTAACGACTGAACATCCCACTTGGTTTTCGGCTTTTGATGAATCTGTGTAAAATATTTTGTAATTGTAGCATTTGTTTAACATTTCTAAAAAATACGATTTTTTTCATCCGAAACTATTTTTTTTGAGATGTGGGACATATATTTTTCTCTAGAAATATTCGGAGGACTCCACCTTGGAAGGTTTTTATCTGGGAGCTTTTGGATGCAATTTAGGTTCATATTGAATGCTAACGTTGTTTGAATTATATTTCACTTGAAATTGCTATTGATTGAAACTGTTTTTGGATCAAATATGATGTCTCGTAAGGGATGTCGTAGAAGTGACATTATTTTGGCCCCATATTTTGCAATTATAAATGCTCTTCTTTTCTCGAGGGATGGTTCGGCGCATTATGCATATAGACTCTCAATCGGCGATGTTCTATAAGCTCCTGAGCATATCCTCAAAGCAGCATTATTGATTGGCTCAAGAATTTTTAAAATACTTCTTTTTGAGGTTCCATTTACACATGCTCCATAATCTATTTTGCTTCGGATCATCGCTTTGTATACCTTTAATATACTGCTTCTGTCAGCTCCCCAACTAGAATGCGAAAGACACTTTAGGAGGCCAAGTCTTTTTAAACATTCTTGTTTAAGACCTTTAATGTGGTCAGTCCACTTCAAGCTTTTATCTAGATGAATTCCTAGGTATTTTTGGTGATCTTCAAACAATATGTCGGTCATCCCTAATTTTAGTTTAGGATTCGTAGAGCATCATCTTATTCTGCATATATGCATAGCCTTTGTTCTATTTATCGAAAAATTAAAACCGCTATTTCGTGCCCATTTTTCTGCTTTTTTCAGTGCTTTCTGTAGTTTCCATTCAATAAAATAGAAAAATTTTCTACGGACTAATAATAATACATCATCGGCAAACATTATGATTTTAATAAGCCATTTGAAATTCGGTGTTAGATCATTCATAGCAATCAAAAACAAAGTTACACTTAGAGGTGAACCTTGGGGGGTGCCATTTTGAGAAACGTGAATTGACGACAAGGAGGACCCAACTCTGACTTGATATTTTCTTTCTTTAAGAAAGTTTTCAATGTATGCCTTCAATTTTCCCTGAACACCATAATTATTTAAGATTTGCATTACGCGGCCTCTTAACATGGTATCATGAGCCTTTTCCAAGTCCAAAAAGACAGCAACCAAATGTTCTTTTTGTGAGAATGCTTTTTCTGCTTCATGTTGCAGTTCAATCGGTCAGTTCAATAATTTTTATAAACTACAAAAATTGAACAAGTCGTTCACTCAAAGAATCGTTATATAACTATTTCTGTCATAAATACTGTTATAAAAGTTGAACTTTGTTTACATCCTAGAGTATTATTTAGATAATCCTTACCTATATCAGGTTATTTTCTTTACATTTCAGGATAATAATCCCAATTAGTTTGTATTTTTTTTCGCTTAGTTAACATGGGGGATGAAGAGAACCGAATAGCTGTAATCGCCTTACACAAAGTTGAAAAATGTAGGTCAGAGATTTTCAATACTTCTAAACCTTTGGGCATCAGCCGTAAGTTTGTGTACCTCACTATAAATAGATATAATAAGACCCTATGTGTATGTGACAGACCCCGACCGGGCAGTTCCCGCACTGTGAGAATGGCAAACGCAGTGAGAGCAGTAGCTGCTCAACAAATCATGTCACGGGAGAAATGGAAATCTCTGTCAGATTAGTGTCTGGAATGATAAAAAGTGACTTCAGGACGGATGCATTTCGAGCAATGACAGGACAAAGGTTAACCACTTCCCTAAAACAAATTAGAGTCGATAAATGCAAAGTGCTTCTTGGCCGTTACACCAATGGTCTTCATCTAAAGATTTTGTTTAGCGATGAGAAAATTTTTACAATTGAATAAAAATTTAATTGCCAAAATGATCGTGTACGCACACAGTTTTAAAGAAGCCCAGGAAGTCATTGGAATGAGGAAAGAGGTCTTTAATCAAGGATGGTGTTGATGGCATCACAAAGCTCCATGTTTGTGAAAAAAGAGTTAAAACAGCAACTAAAAAATATCAGGACGATATTTTGGAACCTGTTGTCAAGCCTCTAACTGATACTCTGTTTGCTAGAAGTCATTGGGTTTTCCAGCAGGATTCCGCTCCAGCTCACAAGGCCAGGTCAACTCGGCTTGCAGCCACTGAACTAAGAACATTACTGAATTCATCTCTGTTTCAGATCGGCACCCATGAAGCTCTGGTCTGAACCCACTAGATTATTGGCTTTGATCTGAACTGGAGAGGATGGCATGTTGCTGAGCACTATATCATCCCTAACTTGGAAAGCCTCAAACAATCTCTGGTCCGACCAGTTGAGCACTTTCTTCATGAAGTGCAGCAGAATTAATTTTTCTGTTGAAATCTGTATATATTTCCTTGTAACAATATTTATGACAGGACTAGTTACCTTCCAGCAAATTAATTAAAAACATTTTATTCCATAACGGGTCAGTGTTTGTAGCTCAAATGGTTGCAAAACACTCAGCTAATCCCTCGAAAAAAATTAAGCATCAAAATCGATCCAGCTGTTCCCTTAAAAAATCGTCATATATCATCAAGCGGACAAGCCAAACCCTTCGTTTAGTCCGGTAACAGTACCTCAGAATTTACTTACTTTACACAATATCAAAATATTAAAACTAAATATTTTATATTATACTTACATTTATACAGATGTTCCCAAATCAAACTGCAATGTTGGATGTTCCTTTTTAACTGAGACCATAAGACGAACCACGTTATACGTGCCATAAGGCAACCACGTTTAACTAGAAATTCCACTGCAAAATGCTCTCAATCATATCTTGCTGTGCGAAGAAGATAATTGTATCATATATATAGATTACTTTTCAGCCATGATGACATTTACGGACAGTTGTCCGACAAAGACTCGAAAATAAGGAAACCTCATTTTTACTCGTCGATGATAAAGAACTTAAATAAGAACTTAGTAATCGCCTGGACACCATCGCATGTTGGATTTAAGGTAAATGAAGGGGCAGATAGAGGAGCGAAGGAAGCAACATCGTCTTCATTAGAGATATACAATAAATACATATACAAAATTGTTTAGGTATAGGCAGCTACCTGAAATAGTCGAGAGCCTGGCTAAAAGTTCCAATTTTTAAACAATCTCAAATATTATTTCGAAAACGACCTTTTAACAAAATGTATGCTAGCTAATAACTTGTACACACATTCTCCTTTAAAAATGTGAAAGGCTTTTGGGTTTAAATTTAACTATACATAACACTTATAATTACTGAACACTTACTTAATTATCTACTTAAGCCCATATGGACCTACGCTTCACAAATTTACGGAACAGCCAAAACGACCCACATACGAAAACTACAAACTTTTCAGTCTAAAACTTTCAGAACCATAACCAATGCTCCATGGTACGTCACAAACATTACATTACATAAAGACCTTCAAATGCCAACAATTAACGATCACATACGGACACACTACAAGCGATTTCACAATAACTTACATGGGCATACACACTTATACAAAGTATGGCTACATTTAACATGCCCGAAAACACACTTAGGAGGATCAAAAGGAGCTGGATGAGGGATTTCCTCACTTAAAAATATGCTAAAATCAAGACAGGAAGGGATGCCGCTGGGTACTCCTCTCCATCACGCCGATTAAGCCACTACCTGTACACTTACCGACAGCAGACCCACTAATTGTCATTGCTTATGACAGATGTGGGCTAATAAGTAAATTAAAAAAAAAAACTTTAACCATAGTTTTTATATAAAACAAACAGTATCCAGCCACGCGTTGCTGTGGCTCATTCTGTTTAAATAGATTAACATCTATTTATTTATGAGAAGGAATTGGTCGGAGGGTGCGGTCAAATAAATACTAAATTTTAAAAAAATAATATTTTTAATTACACCGACGTTTTGATCCACCTTTTAGGTCTTCATCATGTGGCACTGCAGGAGGCAGTTGATAGATTCTAAATGATACTCTGTTTTGAATATATACTTATTTGTTGTTTGATACGCTGTTTTGAATATATACTTATTGAATATATACTTAAAAATTGAATATATATTTATTTATTTAACTTATTTATTTATTTAATCTATCAACTGCCTCCTGAAGTGCCACATGCCACGCCCTGATGAAAACCTACAAGGTGAGTCGGAATTTCGGCGTAATTGAAAATACTATTTTTAAAAAAATTAGTATTTTTTTGACCTCATCCTGCTCATATTATATCACAGTCAACCATCTCTACATCATCTACTTATTTCTTTTTTTTTCTTTTAATATTTATTTTATTATATTTATTTATGAATAAATAAAAAAGATAGCAGATGTTTCTAATATATTTTATGTAAAAATACTTGTGGGTATGCGGTATTTTTTGTTGTTCCATACTTTGTATAGACATAGAAATTGTCTGGTTATCTAACTCAAGAATCTGCAACATATAATTGTCTATATAAGAAGCAATTGGTCTCTAGATCTCCCATGAAAAAGTACTAATTGTTTAAAACATTATATCTCTCCATACGGGCGGATCTACAGGGGGGGGGGCACTTTCGGGCTGAAGCCCCCTTCCCAAAAATGATAAAATATAACCATGTTTTATGGAAAAAAATAATAAAACTAACTCTTAAAGTATTATTGTCCGTGTAATTACATTTAAAAGGACTTAAGGAATCACTTAAATACCATTTCATATAGATAGTTAGTTTCCTTCTTTTTTTCCAAAGTAATTATCGTCATTTTTATGAAAAAAATCTCTCGGGCTGAAGCCTTCCCAAAATTAAATCCTTGATCCGCTAGTGTCTCTGCACCAAATAGTCTGATTTTTTAAACTTTTATTGAGTATTAATACAGTCTGCCACACTGAAGGGCATTGGTACTAGGGCTATAGTATTCATTCACACAATATGTACATAAGAAAGGAAAAAAAAATATATATATATATATAAATAAAAAGATAAAGTAATATACAAGATAATTAAAACAACAGATCAGCCGAATAATAACAAAACAAATAAAACACATTCACGCCTATGTAAAATATTTACATTGGCCCAGGGGATTCCGAATCAAGCTTTGTCCCCCAACTGTGGAAGCCAAAGCAGGACTCCAGGAGATCCCAGTGCTTCTCTCCCAGCCGCGTCAATGGTATAGTAAGCCAGTGGAAACTGATGGAGGGCACTAGAGCAACAGACGCTCAGGACATGAGTGAAGAATCTGGCCAGTGCCAGTACTCCAATATATACATTTTTACAAGAGGTCGCGGGCCCACTGCCGTTTTAACCTCCGAGGAGGATTGCAGGGATGGCTGGAGGTAGATAGAGACTGTGCTACAGGATTAGGATGATGAGTGAGATTCTGGTGAAATTTGAGATCTGGTGATATTAGAAAAATTTCTCTGGGATTAGGTCAAGTACAAATGGGATATTAAGGTCATTGTGTAGGGTTTTATTGGTTACATAAAAGGGAGCATCGACTATTGTTCGGAGAACTTTAGACTGAAAGGATTGAATGCGTTTGATGTTGGAAAAATTTGCTGTCCCTCACAGTTCGAGTCTGTAGGTACAGATAGGTTTCAGGATTGTCTTGTAGATTAATAGTTTGTTCTCAACTGAAAGTTGAGATTTTTTATTGAGTAGTATATATAGTTGGCCATATCGTCGGTTAAGCTGTTGTCTTTTAAGTCTGTTATGTGGGTTCCATGTTAGTCTTTTGTCTAGAAGGAAGCCTAGGTACCGAACTGTGTCGGAATGGGGAAGTGGTATGGAGTTGAAATAAACTGGTGGACACGACTTGCGCCGAAGGGTGAAAGTGGTGTGTTTGGATTTAGATTCATTTACTTGGATGCGCCACTTAGTACACCAGTGTTCGATAAGAGAGAGGTGACTTTGTAGGTTAAAGGATGCTGTTTCGGGATCTGAATTAGAAGAAAGGATGGCCATGAGTATGATTTTAGGGATTTTTTTTTTTTTTTTATCATTTTGCTGGGAATTAAGGAAGCTTTGAAATAATGATGGGTATAATCTTAAAAATTGTGTACTTTTTGAGTAATTCGCAAATATAGTTTTGAAACCATCCTAACTTTTTTTTTCATACTGCTTTCGGGGAAAGATGTTATATACATAAATTAAAAGGGATTCAAAGAGAAGACTTTAGCCAAGTTTAATTAAAATCGTTACAGCCGTTTAGGCACTACTAGGGTGATACAGTTTTTTTGGCCGCCATCTTTATGGGGAAGTGCGGACAGTAATGTCAAATTATGAAAATCACCTTCGGGTTTCCTCTGACATTAATACTTATTCTCAAAAAAATCGGTCCAGTAGTTTCAGAGAAAAGGCGCGTACGGCGAACGGCGGACAATTACTTTCCTTTTCGGATTTCATTTTATTGAAATTAATCTAAAAGAACCTAACACTTTATGTTTTTTTCTATTAGTTTAATAGAATAATATTAACCTAGAACGTTATTATTTTCAAGTATAATTGTAATGATATTGAAGTGATACAACAGTTTATAAACTACTTCTCTCAAAATGTTTTAGGTTTTTTTTATTTTGCTGTAATCAGTTAATATCTCTATTAAAAGATAGATACATTTTTCCTAAAGTTACTTCTTTCATAAAAAAATTTGTCTTTCATTATATTAAAATATTCTTCCGTTACTGTATTGAGGAAAACATGTCAAAAAGATAAAATGTGACTAACTGTCCTTAAACATTATCAACAACAGCGAACAAGTGATTATTTCACTTGTAGTGTTTTAAATATATATGTTTATGTATTTTATTAACATATGCTATGCACCATTCATATGTTAATAGTGGACATTTATGCTAAAACAAAATACACAATTTACAGTTTTTCAAATGCACTAATGAAGTTTAACATAATATTTAAAATTGCCGTAAGTTTATACTTACAAAATATACATTGGTAAAGAATATACACTTTAAAAGAAAAAACACAATATCCTACAATTCTTTGTGGGATAATTCTTTCTGGTAGAACGAAATACTGTGGTGTTGAAAACAGAAGTTTGATTATTTAAATTAGTGAATATCTCCAGAAATTATAACCGGAACGAAAGAAATTAATATAATTTTTTTGAAAGAAATTTTATGAGCTTTAAGACAATATTTCGTCTGTGGCGCCTCTTTTTCAAGATATATGAGAAATTCTGAAAAATGTCACA